TTCTTTTCTGTCTTGTTCTTCTTGGAGGCTACAGTGCCCATCAGTGACCCCCTCCCTTAATGTCATCCAGAGGGTCCTAGAGTTGTCCCTTCTAACCAGGACTTAGTGAAATCTCATCGAGAGCCTTTGTTCTCCTCTTCAGGAAAGGGAGGAAGTAGAAATGGTTAAAAGACACTTAACACAGGGCTTGGCACATGGAGACTGCTCAACTAATGCCAGCTGGGAGCACCAGGAAACGAGTTTCCAAGTAGACAGTTTGAGAGAGGCCACAGATGGAATTTTCCACGTTACTTCTGTGGGGCACAGGAAGCTGATCTGTGATAGGGGAGGGGAAGTGGACACTTAGCTTGCATGTCTCCTCCAAACCCTATGCAGTAGACACTCTTATTATCATCAATTTACTGCTGTGGGAGCAAGGCCTAGAAAGCTTATGATCCTCACCTAAGGACACATAGTAGTAGCTGTTATTTGAATGACTCCAAAGCCATGTGCCTGACCTGTGCTGGAGCCACACCAACATGGCCCACCAGGGGGTTCAGAGTGGATCAGCTAGGGCAGGCCTGGCCCAGCGCCGAGAAGGCAACTGGAGCCCCTTCCAGGACACATCCCCGCATTGTGCCTCCTTTCGTCCTTTCTATCCACTGACACAGAGCCATACTATTAATGGCTGTGTTCCCTGAGAACCGTGCTTTTATCCTCTGGCAAGGAAGTGAACTTGCAGCCAACTTGAGAAATGAAAGCACTCATTCATTCACCATCCAGTTACTGGACACCTCTCTATGTACTAGGATGACTAACATGAGTAAAGCATGGTGTCTGCCCTCTGGAACTCACAGCCCAACTGGGGACACAGATGGAGAAGCTCATTGTTCTACCGCTGTCTAGCACATGTGGCCACAGCTTGCTGAGGGAGCACCAGAGAGACAGCAGCCATCTCTGTCTGGGAGAGTCAGGAAAGGCTTCTGAGAGGAGAGATGATGGAGCTGGGCATTGAAGGATCAGGGGGAGTTCCCTAGATGTGCACAGAAGGGAGGGCTGGGGAAGTGAACTCACATTTAATGCGCATGCTATGTGCCAGGCACCTCACACATCCTATCTTGTTTAATTTTCACAACAATCCCTTGTGGAGGTATTATTATGACCATACAGATGAGGAAACTGCATTTTCACATGCAAAAACAACTTTTCATGAAAAAACAAAAAACATATTGGCTGGCCGGTTAGCTAAGTGGTTAGAGCATAGTGCTGATAACACCAAGGTCAAGAGTTCAAACCCAGTACTGGCCAGCCACCAAAATAAATACGTTAGAGCATAGTGCTGATAACACCAAGGTCAAGAGTTCAAACCCAGTACTGGCCAGCCACCGAAATAAATACACAAACAAACAAACAAACAAACAAACAGAAAACGTAACTAGTTCACCTTGTCAGTCAAGCAGTCATGAAAGTGTTTTTACATGAAAGAATGACTGACAAACTATGGTTAGTCAGACTTGGGCATTTGGCAGATGTTTTCTTGAAAATGCACAAATGAGCCTGCCACTTCCAGGAAAACAGCTGACATTCATCACTTGTTGCCAATCATAAAATTTGAGCTTCCAAGCAGAAACTGGAATTTTAGAAAACTTGTATCTTCAGCCTTCCCAGTACTGCAAGACTCTTCTGATAAGACTGATGGTGACATTAGTGAATGTGATTTTTTGGTGTTGTATAACAAAATGTGTCAACATCTGGAAGAACTACATAACTCATTGAACAAAAATCTCCAGTGACCAATGCATGTTATAGAATCATTCAGGGGTAAAAGATCTATTCAAAGTGCAAGATAGAATAATGAATTTTAATGTGACAGGGTACAAAATGTTCACCAATCTAGTTTCAGTTTACACATTGCAACTTACCTTTAAGAAGTTTAAGAACTACTACTTGTTGAGTTTAGATGTGATATCAAAGAAGGATATTTACAACTCTGAAATTTTATTAAAATATGCCTCCCTTTCCAAGTACATATCTGGCTGGGTTTTCTTCATAGCCAGTGACCAAAATGAGACATCTCAATAGATCGAATGCAGAAATAGATACGATCAGCCAGCCAGGCAGTAAAATGTTTTACACTACAAAAATGTAAAACGGTGTCACTTTTCTTTTCCCTTTGTTTTGGAAGTTGGAGTAATTTTTCATAGGAATGTCACTTATGTTACCATGTATTGGGCTCATTATTGTTATTTTAAAATTAATTACTAAATAAATATTTGTAAATGCCTCAGTTTAAATTTCTAATATGGTAAAATGAATACATACAAGCCACATAAGTAAAAGCTCTTTGAGGTTCTTGATAAATTTTAAGATTGTTATTTTAAAATTAATTACTAAATAAATATTTGTAAATGCCTCAGTTTAAATTTCTAATGTGGTAAAATGAATACATACAAGCCACATAAGTAAAAGCTCTTTGAGGTCCTTGATAAATTTTAAGAGTGACGTCCTGTGACCCAAAAGTTTGAGAACTGCTGCCCTAAGGAATCGCATAAAAAAAGTGTTCCATTGTGATCTGTGTCATTCCAAAGTCCATGATCTTTTCCTACATCAATGACTTTCAAGAGGGAAGGGGGTTGGGGATTGGGAACTCACTCTCTCCCACTGGAGAAGGTTTATCAGAATCTCTGGGGTGGGGGACTCAAGTAGGCTGAGCGACTATTTTCTATAAAATTGCCTGAGAATCCACTGAGCCCCTCTTTGCCTCCTTCCCTCAGATGATTTTCCTCTGCATTCTCTCTCTCTCTCTCTCTAATGCCCCCCTCCTCCAAATCCCTCCACACCCCTGGCCACGACTTTGACCTTCTCTGCTTCCCTCCTCCTCTTCTCCCTGCTCTGAACCTGGCAGGGTGGGGCTGACCCTGCAGGAGGCTGTGCCTCTTCTGGCTGGATAAGCGCTGACAACGCTCAGCTTCAGAGAACTCAGGATTCCTGCAGATGTTTCCAGAGGTTTGAGGGGCTTTCATGGCAAGGCAGGACTCTCTGAAAGCTGAGCAGTGTCCTGGACTTCTCCAGCTCTTTGAGGCCAAAGACTTCTCATTGGAGAGTCTTGCAGAGGTCGGTTGGAAGGGTAATCTTTAAGATGCAACCCAAATAAAAGTTCTGTGTCTGCTTGAACACTTTTCAGTCATCTTTTGGGCACCCAGTCATTTCTGTTCCTCATGCTATGGGAAAAGTTGGACACGTTTAGCCCTTTTCTGTGTCTGCCTAACACAAAGCACTGCAGAGCAAAGCTTAATTAAATGGCTTCCCTCCTTCTTTGGGGCCCTCCACAGCTATTTTTCTCTGTGGATCAATATGTCTTCATGGAAAGATGGGTCTCCAGCCTGGCTGGACTTAGTGAGACCTCTCTCTCTCTGACCTATCCACTTGGTGGCCCTTTGAGGAGGGAGGTCAGAAGCTCTGTCCAAACTCATTGTTTTGTGGATTACCCAGAGAGAGGAAGGCACCACCTGGCCCCGCAACGGACCAGGGGCTGCAACCCAGGCCCCTTCGTCCTGACTCTGGCTTTCTTACGAAAACAATCTCCCCACTCAGAGTCATAGAGCCTGGCACTAGATGGAGGTCTCCGTGTGCATCTGCCTCACTCCTTCCCCTCAGGGCTCACCTGCCCCACAGTGCTGGGGACAGGCATCCACCCCTTCATGTCCTCCGGTCCAGAGGTGCTCCGGCTGTGTGTCCTCTGGGGCTCTGGGGCTTGGGTCTCAGCCATCAGTGTTAGTTCTTATTGTCTATCCCAAAGCCATCTGCATCCCTTTGGCCATCCCTCGTGAGCCAGATGGAGCTGCCTCTGGACAGCTGTGTCAAAGAGATCCTTTCAAGGCCGTGGAGGGGAGAGGGATTTTGTTTTAATGGAGGTAAAATTCACCATTTTAACCATTTAAGTGTACAATTTAGGTGGTTTTTAGGTTGCAGTGTTGTTCAACCACCATTACTATCTAATTCCAGAACATTTTTATCACCCCAAAAAGAAACCCCACACCCACTAATCTATTACTCCCCTTTCCCATTCTCTCTTCCTCCCTCTCCAAGCCCCTGGAAACCACTGATCTGCTTTCTGTCTCTATGGATCTGCCTATTCTAGACATTTCATGTAAATGGAATCATACAATATGTGGAGGTGGATGTTTTTTAAAAAGAGAAATGGAATATTTTCTAGGAAGATGGTTCATTTTTAGAATAAAACAATTTAAAATTAAAAAACTGTATTTTAAAAGTCAGAATAACAATGACAAACTCTTTGAGAAGACTCAGCGTGGCTATCTTCTTTTAAAGAGCGTGGCTATCTTCTTTTAAAGACATCTGTATTAGTCCATTTTCTGTCACTTAGAATACCTGAAACTGGGAAATGTATAAAGAAAGTGAATTTATGTCTTATAATTTTGCAGCCTGGGAAGTCCATGGTCCAGGGAACATATCTGGTGAGGGCCTTCTTGGTGGTGACTCCCTACAGGGTCCCATGGTGACGCAGGCAATCACATGGCGAGAATGGCAAGAGCTTTCATGCGCTCTCCTTACACAGCCACAAGTGCCACTCCCATGACAGCCCACTAAACCATTAGCCATTCCTCCACGAATGGGTTAATCCATTCATGAGGGCATAGTCGTAACAGTCCAATCAACTCTTAAAGGCCCCACCTTTCAAAACTGCCATAGTCTGATTTCCCACCCTCTTAACACTGTTACAATGGGGATCAAGCGTCAATGAGTTTTGGGGGGACATTCAACTCACAGCAACATCCTTCTGATGGGGCTGCTGTTCCGTGGTCACAGAACTGAGAGAGAGGAGTTGTGTGATTGGCGTTGGCCCTTCACTGCAGATGGTGGGATTCTCAGGGGATCCTCTGGTTTCCGAAGATTTCTTTTGGCGGTAGAGCTGACATGGGTCTAAGAAGCTGAACCTGACTTGGTGGGAGGTGCAGGGTGGGATGTGTCTCTCCACTCTCCCTTTGTGTCTCTCGTAGGGGTGAAGAAGAGAACTAAAGTCATCAAGAACAGTGTGAACCCCGTGTGGAATGAGGTATGCGAGGGTTTTCACCTCCCTCCTCCTCTCTCTCTGCTGCCATTGTCTCTGCAGGGACAAATGATGGGGTTACGGGGGAGGTGGCTTCCTCAGTGGTGTCCTCGACGAGGGGTGGGCTGGGGGCCCAGCATGGAACTTGGGAGGAGTGTTGGTGGCCTGGCCTGCTGGGTGAATGGAGACATGTCCTTGCGATGTGGCTGTGGCATAGAGAGGAGGGAGAGGCCTTTTGCCTCTACTTCCCCAGCTCCAGCCAGCCAGTGAGAGGGTATTTAGGGGCTCTCTTGCCTGCTTCATCTCATTCACACAGGCCATTCTCCCTGCCCAAAGCTCACATCCTCCCCACAACCCTCCCTGATTAACCAGGTCCTCCTCTGGCTCCTGCTGGTCTCTGCCCACTCAACCAGCTCCCTACGTTTATGGCTGCTGTGTGGTCCTTTGGAAGCCCTGAGTGTCTTGTGTGAACAGGGTCGGGATGCACAGGGCAGCCTTAGCTCTGAGGAGGGGTGCGGGGCCTCTGGCTGGGCCTGATCAACATGGTGCTAACTCACGTTACCCACCAGGGGCCTGGCTTCTGGATGAGCACAATGATCGTGGTCCCCGAGGATCCTGCAGGGCCACCTGGCATTTTCTCAGCTGGGCTCCTGGCCTGGCTTGCTGGGGTTGGGTTTGAACTAAGCTATGAGAATCTGACCTCTTCCTCTCTTCTGCTGCCTTCATCTCTCACTGTCTCCTCTGAAGCTCTGGAATGCTGGTATTTCTCCATCCGTCCATCCCCCTTCCCCCTCACCCACCCACTAGAATCATTCACGGATGCCTGCTCAGTGCTCTGGGGGCACAAAAGTGAACCAGACACAGTCTCTTCTCCTAGGGGGCCACAGGTTAAGATGCCTTTTTTCCTTTTCTTCCAGGGCTTTGAGTGGGACCTCAAGGGCGTCCCCCTGGACCAAGGCTCTGAGCTTCACGTGGTGGTCAAAGACCATGAGACGATGGGGAGGAACAGGTGAGGGGGCTAGAGGGGGGCTGGTGGCTCGAAGCTAAAGGTAGAGTCATGGTGGATGTGGACTCTAGAATTCGGGCCCCAGACAGCTGATGTTTCAGCTCAGCATTTATTGGGGGCCGCCTCTCGTGGGCCTGGCCTGGGGGCCAGTGGTGTGGAGAAGCCTGGCCACGGCCTCAGAAACTTGGCCATGGGTAAGGCTGAGAGCTGCCCAGGCTGCAGGGGAGGGCAGATGGGCTAGAATCAGTTGCCCACACGTGCCCCAGGGAGCAGCCAGGAGAAAGGTCCCTGTCTCCTGCTCCAGCAGGGAGGCTCCCGGGGGTGGGCTGGTGAGGACAGCGGCACACTCCAGGAGGCAGGCGGAATAAGCCAAGCGTCCAGCAGGGAGGCTCCCGGGGGTGGGCTGGTGAGGACAGCGGCACACTCCAGGAGGCAGGCAGAATAAGCCAAGCGCAACCAACTGGCAGGGAGCTGTCGAGGAGAGGTGGGGCTGGAGGTGAGATTTGTGGTTTGGAGTCAGAATAGTAAGAGTGGGTAACACTGAGTGGACACCTTTCTATGGCAGGGGTTCTATTGAGTTAGTTCATGTATATACTGGGGAGGGTTTCCAGGCAGGGCAAACAGCAGGAGTGAAGTTCTGGTGGCAAAAGCAGGCTCCCTCCAGGCAGGCCATGGGTCGTGTCTCTTGTCCGTGAGCTCCTGGGCCTCATATGCGGAGGAGGGGGGAGGGTGGTATGGGCAGGACAAACCCAGCTTGAAGGTTGTGGGCCTGTTGATTTGGGTGTGGGTGAACTGGGAGACACAGCCTGTGAGGCTGCATAGTGACAGGGTGGGGGTTCAGTTGTCCCTGCTGGGCATAACAGGGTCCAGCTGTGTTGGGTATAACAGGGTCCAGCTGTGTTGGGTGCTGCAGGGGTATGTATATGCTCCTGATGCCATTTACTGAGGTCTAGGCGCAAGGATCAGGCATGAGTTTGCTGTTTTTTGAACCACTCACAGTGGAGCCTTTGTTTGGGAACTGGGTCAGCTGGTGTCTGAGGCCTGAGGCCTGGCTATGTTATCCTGGAATGGGGGAAGAGAATGGGGAAGCAGGAGGATTCAGGAACCAAGGAAAGCCCAGTGAGGGTCTCAGGCTGCAAAACACCACCTGGAACGTTTGAAATCTTAAAAGCTTGGAAGAAAAACCATCTCTCTGTGGCTCTGCTGGCCATGGGTGCAGGGTGTGGGATGTGTGTGGAGGGTGGGACACTTTCACTGGGCCCTCCAAAGGTAGGGCTGCAAGGCGTGGGGCCCATGCCTACTGCCTCAGGTATCTGGAGCTCATCTCATCCAGCTCTGGACCTCAGCAGCCTCCACCTGCCCAGGGGTGGGGGTTGGAATCAGTTCAGGCTAAGCTACCTCTCAACACAGACCAGACACTTTGTGGAATATAAGGCAGCCTCTGACAAGCATGAGTGGTGGACTCACAGGCCAGGGAGGGAGCAGCTCTGGCTGCTGGGCAGTCCTCGAAGGCTTCTTGGAGGAGGGCCACTCAGACTGACTTGGAGGCAGGGTAGGCTTTGGAGAGGGGAGAAGGGGAGGGTATTCCAGTGTGGGGGTTTGGAGTGCAGCTGGGCTCAGGTCTCACAGGTGGGACTCAGTCTCACAACATGTGCAGTCCAGAGAGAAGGGAGTGGTGGGGTTGGATTGGGAGGGGGCCCCCAAGACCAGGCCGAGGATAATAGCAGAACCACGCAGCTGGCACTTACCAAAAGCTTAGCCAATCAGTTAGGTACCACTATTCTAGTCATCATCATTACAGATGGAGAAAGTGAGGCTCCGAGAGATTGGGCAATTTTCTCCAAGGCTAGTGACGGTGGAGCTGTGATTGCAGAACAGATCTTTGTGACATGCTCATAATACTGAGCCTCTCAGAGGCTGCAGAAGCCCCCGGAGGGTGCTGGGCCCTTCTGGAGAGTTCAGTTCCCTGATGATGCTGGAGATGAGTTTACCAAGGCCGAGGTGGGACAGACTGATTACTGCAAGGCACACAGAGGACATGTGTGTTTCATTTCCACCATCATGTGCAGTATTTTTGAGGCCCCGTGGGGAGATTTCTAAGATCATGAAGGCAGCCTAAGAGCAGGGGCTCTGAATGTATTTTTGATCAATTCAAGGGCCAGGATGGCCCTCAGGGTGAGCTGAGGGCTGTCCTGGCCTGTGTGTCAGAGATCACACAGGGGAAGGGGGCAGTAGGCATGGAACCTTGTCGCCCTCCCATTGGCCCCTGTGGATGTCCTTTAGTTCTTGGGGGACAGCCAGCTCTCTGAAAACCAGTTCCCTCATGACCAGTTCACTGCAGGACCGTTTGCTGGAAATCAGTTCCTCAAACATCAACTTGCTGAACAGCTAATTCACTAAACTTATTAATTTACCAGAAACTTCTTCCTCATAGCTACTTGAACATAATTTTTTATCTTTCTGAACAGTTGTCTCAACTTTGGATTTCTGGCAATTAAAAATTAAATTTTAATTAAATGAAATTGAAATTTAAACTTACATTTGTAAATATCTGAAGAATATCAGAGGCTACCAAAGCAACACTGTCAAGTGAGGAAGTGACAGAATTTTGTCTTCATGTCAGGAGCAAATGGGGTACACGGCCTTAATGGCAGCTTGCTTGAACTTGTGGTGCCTGGGGGCAAACCTGTCTGGAGCAGTGGGAGGGAGGACAGGGCACCCGTGCTACCAAACCGAGTAGGGTCTGTTTGCCCAGCGCCACAGAAAGCCAATCGCCCAAGTATGTGTCTTTGCAGCAGAGAAAGAAAGTTTAATTGCAAGGTGGTCGCGTGCTACCAAACCGAGTAGGGTCTGTTTGCCCAGCGCCACAGAAAGCCAATCGCCCAAGTACGTGTCTTTGCAGCAGAGAAAGAAAGTTTAATTGCAAGGTGGTCTTTGTGAGAAGGTGGGAAACTAGCCTCTCAGACCCGCCTTCCCCGATGTACTTATGGGGAAGTGGTTAGGGGTGGTGTGAGGTGTGGGGGATCACAACTGGTCTGTGGGTTTGAAGGAATCCCTCAGTGATCTGTGCTGGGGCAGGCCGTCTGCATGTTCAGAAGATGGCAGAATCAAGAGGATCTGGAGGGGGAGCCCTAGCCTTCTGATGCCAAAGGTCAGACATTTGCACAGCCTCAGTAGGGATGTCTGTAGGCTCAGCCTGCCTAGCCCTGTTTGGATTGGGCCAAGCTACCCTCAACAATCCTGAAAAGGAACACAGTTCCTGACTTCCATACCACAGGCATTATCTTAAAGAGAAGATAGGAAGAAACAGAATGAGAGGTTAGTTATGGAAATTTACTGAAAGAATGAGCAATTTAAACAAGGAATAAACTGTATCTGATAGCCACGGTTGCACTTGCATGAGAATTCTGTAATGTCCCATGCTTAGATCTCGAAGTACGTTTACCCTACACATGAAATGTGAGAAAAGAATCAGACACTGGAAACATTCAAAATTCTAAAACTGTAAAAATAAGAAACATACCAGGAAGTGACTAGGGCAACCATGTAACATTTTAAATTTTGAAAGAAAAGAAATTCAGTGAATTCAGTTCAATGAACATTTTAAGTTGATCACCTGCTCACTGCCTTTGAGTTGTCACTGTTTGGAAGTGATTCCAGGGGCCACTCAGCTTCTGGCTGAGGCTCCCCCAAATCTGTTACCAAACCCAAGTCTGGCTGCCTGCCCCCAAATGAAAATAAACAACCCCAAAAGTCAAATGTTGTTAAAAATGGAAGTCAGCTTTTATTCAGGAATACTGGTGACCTGAGGAGAGATGTTAGGCTCACCCATCTCTCCAGTAAACCTGAAGGAGATGGCCAGACTAGAGCTGTCTCAAAGACTCAGGTTTACTAAGGGGTCTTTAAAGAGGGGGTTGAATGGAACGTGGGAAATAAGCATGAGGGAGGGGGACGTGAGCCGTGGGGGCTCCTTGCAAGGAGCTAGGTACAAGGTCTCACCAAGGCTCCGTCTGGTTTCTGCTCCCATCTTTGCTGTTATCTCAGAGTCCTGCTGGAGGGTGGGATCGGCATAGCTTTAATGATGTCTGCCTTGATTTCTCAGGGTCTAGATAGTAGGTGTCTTGTGGCAAGTTTGCAGCTTCACACTGGCCAGAAAACAACTTTATATTTATGTAAATAATGTCATCTTGCCCCATAACCAAGGTTTGAAATATTAAATAACCATGGGAAAAGAGGGAGAAATGCTTGCCAAGAAAAAAATTGTATCCTTTTAAAATCTTTTACCTCCCATGCAGTTTTAGGTCCCAACATGGCTTCAGTCCTGCTCACTCCAACAAAAGCAATCAGGGACATGGCAGGTGTGATGGTGATTGTTGTCATCTGACTGTGCTCAGGCTTTTCTAGCTGGTGGGTTTCAGTGAGGTCCCCCGGGATCATCATGCGGCCACCCCCTTCTCGTCTGTGAGTCCTGGGTGTGTCTTCCGTGAGCTCACTTACCACCTGTCCTCCCGGGGCAGCCTGCAAGCGAGATGGATCCCAAGCCCTCGGCGGTCGGTCGTCGTTAACTCTCTCAGTCTCCCTGTCTCTCGCCTCCTCTGCCTCTTCCTCACCTCTGTCCTCTGCCCCCATCTGCGTCTGGATTTCCCCTCCATGCCTGCCTCTTTAAGACTCACTTTGCTTCTTCTCCTTCCTGCCCTCCTCTCCTTCGACTCTTTCTCTCCTCCCTGCTCGATCCCCACCTCCACTGTCCTCGCATTTCTGTGTCTTCCTTGATGACCACTGGCAGTTTGTGGGGGACCTCATTAGACCAGTCTGGCCTGCTGGCCCAGAGTGGGATCTCGGGGTGCCCTCCATGCCTCAGGCAGAGAACCTTGGGCTGGGAACCACCTGTGGATTGCTTGGCAGCCTGCCCACCCACCAGAGGGGCAGCCCTGTGCCTGAGGGACCCCTGAGCCAACTTTGTGTGGATCAAGTCAGGTTTCAAATGCATATGAAAGGAAGCT